GTCTTTATTTGTCTGAACCCAGTGACCAAATCTCAAGTGAGGACAGATATTCACGTCTTTCAGAATAAATGAGTCCTCTGTCTTTTCCAAAGCTAACCAGTACTCTGTACATCTAATTTTCCTTAGAGAGAAAATTACATAAACACAGTTTGCTACAGCATCAGGCTGTTGGGGCAATTTGCCCTACCATCAACAGGATAGGGCTTCCTCTTTAGCTGGAAGATCTCCACACAACAGGCTTTCCTTGCAAGAAGCATTAGACAATGGCATCCTCCCTGATGCTCAGTGTGTCAATGCTGTTTGAGAGAACATCCTTATGTGAATTAGATATTCCTGAAGTTTGCAGCACCTCAGCCATGAATCACTTTCTTATTGACATCCACTTGACTAGAAGAGTGCATGGGTATATTTATACCACCATGCTGTGGGAAATTCAAACTCAGTTAATTAGTTCCTCCCCAGGTTAAAGTATCCATAAGTGCAAATGCCAAAGCTATTTTTTGCTCATGAAAAGGAACTGAACAATCACCTGATTGCTAAAATGCAGCCAATATTTAGCTGAGAGGTGGCAGGATAGTAGGGATCTATGTTCAGCCACCCTGTAAAGCACTTGCAGTGAAAGAAGCTGTGTAAATATAAGTCATTATTATATTGTTTAGGTAATCAAATTTATGGCACCATTGTTTAAATAAACTGGAGATGTGGAGCCATTTATTCATATTTTAATGCTTGGTCTGCCTGCTACATAAAATATATATTTAAAAAATAAGCTTTCAGAAATATGTTGGTTTTTTTTTTCCCAGGGCTGAATTTATGTTAGGGAGACAATAGTGCCACAGTAATTCTTAATTTGTACAGCTGTTTTAATCACTTTTAGTATGAAATACCACAAAATAAATCAGACCTAAATCTCTCATAAATCTAATGGCAGTGTTGCACTTCAGATGCACATTTTCAAATGGCTGCATCATTGCTTTAATTCAAAACACAGCCAGAAGGCTCAGTATGACCTGCAAAGTTCTACAAAACACTTGAAGATTTATTCACTTTTGAAAAAATAGTGAATGTATATATTACAGCAATGCCTACTGGCCAAAATTGAGACTTGGTCCCCCATCATGTAGGGTGCTCTATGCATGAAAAAAACACAGTCTCTCTCCCCAGATGCCCTTATTAAATTTAAGTGTTGCAGTTATAGAGTTCTCCATCTTAATCATTGATGACTACCCCTGTTGCTGCAGACAACACAAGGACTTCAAAGCAAGTTTCCCTATTTATTTATTTGGGCTCCTGGTTCTATAATATTTTCTAATGTGTTTATCCCTGTGAAGCGAGGTGGTACTTTCACCCAGGTTACAGATGGGAAACTGAGGCTCAAATATTTTCTTTTCAACATATTTATATTTAATTTCAACTCCTTATTCAAAATGAATTAAGCTTACAAGTGCATAAGTTGCACTGATCTTAAGTCTGATATTTTACACATCTAAAACACTTTGGAGTCGAGACTGAGAGGAGCAGGTAAGATTTTTACGACAGAGGAGGTTTCCTAGTGTTCACTCCTTTATCCCTGAGTCCAAGGACAGACATTTCTTTTTAGACATTGGTCTTCTTTCATCCCTTTCTCTATTGGACAGTGGTTACTCTTTCTGGATGTTTTTCCTTCAAATAAGGAGTGATTTTCAGTTCTGCAATTTGTAACAAGCTTCTGGTCTTGACTAAAAGTGATGGGTACAATACACATTTACTGGCATTGTTGTTGGTATTACAGAAAAGATGTAAAGAATGGAAAGACTGCAGTATTAAAACCTACAGAGGGCAGATCCAGGACCTACTCATTAGATCAGAATCAGAAACATGCATACTGAATGCATTAAAATAGATAAAAACCTAATATGAGCTTGAGCAAAGGCCCTGAGATGGCAAATACAACGGAAAGTCAGATGAGAAAGCAGATGAACAGTGCCTCTCCTGCTAATCTTCATTATAATGGCATTGGTATAACTAAAGTCAAACTTCGGATTCTGGTACCATTTCAGCTCATTGCAAATGGGAGGCCCAGCAGAAAACATTTGCTAGAATCTCCCAAGGCTGGATTTTTTATTGAGCTATTGCACCATACTTTAGTCCCCTTTTGCACCATCCTGCCAGTGGAAAATCACAGATGGCATGGAAGGGGAAATGGGACTGGTACTCTGGGTAATGATCAGGAGAGATGTTGACATCAATGGAAAGGAGAGAACTTCTGCTTTCACTCTTTCACAATGAGTACAATGTTCATGAAAAATTCTTAGCAGACAGACCAGCAGATTTCAGTCCTTTGTGCATACATTTCTTGCTAGTGAAGCAGGATTCCTAACAGCTGAGCACAGATGATGTGTCTCAGTCCTGGAATACCATCTTAGCGTATATTAAGTGCCTATCACTTTAGCAGCTAAGCAGTATCACATCCCATTTAGCACAAACACAGCATTTTATAGAGCAGAGCATTTTAGAAATCCTTTTCCCTTAGGTTTTTCCACACACTCATTGCAGTGATATGCATCTGATCAATTAAAGCAAAACAGCTTTAGTTAATTAACTCTAAGGGAGTGAGTGGTTCCCTGACTGGAAGTTGTAAGAATTGGCTTTAATATTATGAGTACCATTGATTAACTCTCACACACTGGACAATCACTTCATCTTTCTATGCTTCATTTTTTGCCTGGTGCAAAATGTAGAGAGAAAAAAATCTGTTTTCTTTGGTGAAATGCTTTTGAGAGCCATGAATGAAAAGAGCTATGCATCATCAGTGAATCATCAAAAAAGGCCTGATAGGAGATTTTTTGAAATAGCACTGTCCTCACTGAGCTTCTGAAAAACGGAGCCACAACCAAATAAAGCAGCAAAGGGCCAAAACGTCACTGAGAGGCAGAAGAGGGGACATGATAAAAAATTAGGGGTTGCCTAAAATCTTGACAGCAACTTTTTCTTCCAGACTAGGCTGGCAAGATGGCATCTTTCTTCATTTCTGCCTGTAGCACCCAATTCTCACCCATCCATCTCCTAGGCTGCACGTCAGTTCTTTTACATGGTTTGTTTTTTTTTACCCTGGCCATCCTCCTCCCTAGAAAACTGATATATCCAACCATTTCCAACATCTGACAGCCCCCAAAAGCTTCTCTTTCTTGTTGCAGGGATATTCCTGTTCATTGGGCAAAATTAATTTTACAATAAACATATGACTTACACATCTTTCAGAGTGTTTTTCAGCCTTACACTGTTTAAGATCTTAATTACTGCTGAATTTTTGCCAAAAGCATTGCCTTGGGGAAAAAAAATGGCACTAGCATTTTTCTTTTATTTTATTCCTAATACTATATCATTGCTTTGTCTTATCCTTTCATTCTGCTTAACTCCACATAGTTGCAATTCCCAAAGCTAAGACACTGGTTCCACTGTACATTAGCCAGAGCAAAATAAATAATTTTCACTTTCTAATTTATTTCAAGATCTTTTTATAATTGAGGAATGGAGGTGGAGAGAACTGAATTTCCTCAAATAATTAAAAAAAATTGAATTAATATCCTTTAAAAAATGTTTTTTGGACTTGCTGGTCAATATTCCTGCTTTTGGCAATGAGTGAGTGAATTTGGAGTAGCTAAATTGATCACTTTATTCTTTCTGTTCTACAACTGATTCAGATGAAGGTATTGTTGGCACAAAATTTTGTCCATGTCAACTAAGCATTCTGTTCTGGAGAAGCTTTAAAATTAGATTTCATTGCAGGAGGAGGATGAGGGCAAAATGTCACATGAATGTTTATGACCTGTTCTTTTGACTTCCTCACGCTAAAGAAAACCACCTTGTGGTAAAGAAGAAAATAATAAGGCTTGTTGTGGGATCTGGAGGCTGAGTACCACGACTGGATGAGTGCCTCAGCTCTCCCTGTGGGCAGCAGGTGAAGAACAGAATAGCCATCAAGTAATAACACCAAACCTGCCATGAAAATCAGTGTCTTTGACTATATTTTGGCCACAATTTATTTTCAAATTAGATTCAAACCCCAAATCCCATTATACCTCTATGAGATCAAATTTTTCTCCACTGCTTCAGGATGCTTATAAAGCTGTAAGAGTTGATATGCTTGGTTCTATTTTTCCACGAGATTCTGACTTCTGCTGGTAGATGATACACAACCAAAGATCCAGTTCAGTTCAATGAAATCTTTGCAATAAAAAGGAAGGATAAGGTGTTTTTTTACTGCAAAAAAACAGTAGTACTGTTTTCTTGTACTGTTACTACACATTTTTAGTCCCTAAAAATTTATTACTGCTTCACTGCAACAGCAACTCCTGCTTTACATCATTAAAAGTCAGAGGAGTTGTAGAACTGGAGGATCATAAGGAACATTCAAGGTTTTCTTTTGAAATTATATCTACCTCTTCTTGCATTTAATATGGTATAAAAAATTAAATACTCCAAAGTAGTTAGCCATTACAGTTGTGTAAAACAGATGTTAGTGAAATAAGAAACGAGCCCTTTCATGTAGGTGAAAAATATCTTGTTAGCAACCCCAAATCTTGAATCACAGAATAATTAGAGCCTGTGTTATGGGTAGACAGCACAAACTTCCTCCCACATTGCTTCCTCTCTAAGTAGTCTGTTTCAATCCCACCTACAGGAGGTGGAAAGGGAAATATCTGACTTCTAGTCTTCAAGTTTTCCTTTCTTTGTTAAGTGTACTAAGGAGACTACCAACTGTAGTACCATTTTTTCCCAAATCGAAGATTTTACTGAAAACAGCTGTTTGAAAATGAGTACTACAGAGATTTGCAATGTGTGACTTGGACAGAAAAGCAATGAACAGACCAACAGGCAAACTGGGAGAATACAAATTTATCAGATACCACTAATGCTACTGGTCACAGTGCCATCTCAGTTCAAAGTCAAAGAGTAAAAGACTTATGTTGATTTCTGCTCCCAGCCATCATCAAAGAACCAAACAAAAATGCATTTACCTGTAGATCAGGACTTCATCATCTGAGCAGTTATACTGCAGCTGATACATTTTTACCCGAGGGGCCGACTTGCTGACTGTCCACTTGACCAAAGCTGAGGTAGTGGTCACATCTGACACCAGGACAGCCCTTTCTGGTGGGCCTTTTGTTTCACCGCGATTTGACTTAGTGGAGCTGGTGATGTCCGAGAGCCTGGATTTCGGTGGAGCCGTTTTGCCTGTGCCGTTGCTGAGATGAGGAAGCTGAACAATAGAGAGTTCAATTGTTGCAGTGGACTCTCCTGCAGCATTGGCTGCTATGCATGTGAATGTTCCGTAGTCCTTGGAGGTGGTGATGTGTATATCTAAGGTGCCATTGTCATAGACAGCTATTCTTGAGGAGTTTCCAATGAGACGGTCATCAGGGGCCACCCAGTGAATGATGGGAGTGGGATCCCCAATGGCTTTGCACTTCAGCGTGGCAGTTTGCCCTTCTAAAACCAGCAGCTTGTGAGTATGTTGTGTAATAAGAGGTGGCTCACAAACAAATTCCTCTTCCCGTACATACCAGAAGTACCTTCCCTTTAGACTTGGAGGAGAAGCACAAGTTTCCATATCGTCGTCTCTTTCAAGCCGCCTTAACCACAGTAGCTCACAGTTGCAATGCAGTGGATTTCCCCCAAAGCTGAGGGACAGAGGTGGTGAAAACGGTGTAACAACCAATGGAATAACTTGTGATCTGGCAAATATAGGGTCAGGGGGGAGCTTCTGAAGTCTGTTGGATGTTAGATCCAGTCTGGCCAATTTCTGAAGATCTGCAAATGTCCCCTCTGTTATATAATCTATTAGGTTGTGATCTAAACTGAGCTGATGCAAGTTTATCATCTTTCTTATAGATTCCCAGGGAATGTTTCGGAGGTTATTGTAGGAAAGGTCTAAGTCTTCCAGTGTCAGTAAAAAATCCTCAAAGGCTTCATCAGAAATGCTGCTTAGCTGGTTGTTGTTTAAAATCAAATGCTGAAGGTTAATTAAACCTCTTAACGTATCCTCTTCAATCTCAGGCAACCTGTTGCTGTCCAGATGTAAGGACCGAAGGCTCTCCAAGTCAGTGAAAGAGTAGGGCTGTATGTAACTAATGGTGTTTCTGGACAAAGTAAGGTCAACAAGTCCAGACATATTGGCAAAGTCTTGTCGGCTGATATTGATAATAAAGTTGCCCCCAAGACGGAGTTCAACAGTCCTTCGATCTATGTCCAGCGGTACAAAAAGGAGACCCTTGGAGGGACACAAAGTCCCCAGCGACTCAGACAGGTTCTGACAGACACAGTATTTTGGACAAGCATTGACTGTAAGAGCCATTCCAAACACCAGGATGCCGCAGAGCAATTTTTCCATTTTAAATCATGCAACAGTATCTGAAAGAAAGGAAAAGAGTGAAAAGGAAGATCAGCAATTATGATATAATAATTATGATTCCTTTATACTTATGTTTTGCATAATGTCTACCCCCAAAGAGACTTTGTGATGCCTCCTCTGAGAAGTCATACCTAAAGGCATCAGCCCTCCAAGAAAAGATGCTTATGTGCTTAAAAAACACCCCTCCCTCCCTCCCTCCCTCCCTCCCTGATTGCAAGGCTTATGAAATATTTCATTTGAAATAATGTCTGCTTTTCTACAAGTAGAAGCTAGAATCAGTATCTATAATAATTACCTTCTGCTGCCTAATAGTGTGCACTTTGCTTTGGGTTGAGGCGGCTGACTTTCTGGAAAAAAATAATTGCATTTTTGCCCTTCACCATCCTTAATGTGATTAATAATGGCCATGTAATTATCTGGCCAGTTCTAGGGCAAGTCACTTGCTGACTCATAATAAAATTAATGATAGACAGCATGAGAAGCAGAAATCACATATGTAATTGTCACCTGATTTCACCCTGTGCTCAGCCAAACCATGGAAGGGGTGACAGCATCTAGCTCCAAAGAGAAGGGATCCAGGGGAAAACTGTGCTACCTTTGGCCCTTTGCAAGCTTTTGGACAACTACATGCTTTTACACTGCAACCCCTTCTGTTGTAGTAACAGTCAATCTCTTGCCTGCATCATGGCCCTCCATTGCCCTCAGTTCTTCTTTGCACCATTATCTCCATTTTTTCCAATCTCTCACACATTTTTCCAGCTTAAACTGCAAGGATGTGTCTTTGAAGAATAAACAAAAGTCATGATTGGGCTGGCTTGGAGAGACAGTTGTAGCTGGGAAAAGCTGAAGCCCTGCTTCAGGTTTGGGATTATTTACTTACACAGGTTTGCTGACATTCTTCCCACATGTGCAGGATATAGGGAAACTTGTTTTCTTTCTGTTTCTCCCTTTTCCAGACCCTGCTATCCAACAGGGCTGAAGAATGGGTAGGTCATTCATTTCTAGCCCTCATTCTCCTTCTGAGGAAAGGGGAAAGTAGACAAAGAGATGTATTTTTCTAAGGGCTTTCCCAGGCTTTTTTTTCTAGGGTGCTGTGTTCCATTCTCCAAGATTCTCCCCTGGCATTAGCTACAGACACAATTCAGGTTCTCATTTTGAACATGACCATTTTGCCTCTCTTTAAGCTTCAATCACCATATGAACTTACATCGCTGTTTGGTATATGCCATATCCCTTTTCAATCATGCAGGTGCTCATGTACTTAGCAGTTTTTTCATGTGTTTCAAGTTATTAAACTCCCAGTAAGACACGCCAAACACAAAACAAAAACTTTTTTTAAGAACTCTTTAAACAGGTCTTGCTCTACCTTCTCCTGAAAGGAATGAAAACTAAGGGCCTATTTTTGGGCTCTGCCCAAAAGTTCCCAATTCATGCCCTAGGTAAGGTGGCTTGGCATCTCCTCTCTAGGATATGCAAAATGAGTCAGAAAGAAGGAGCTGTAGAAATGCAAGATGGTATGAGTGCTGAAACTATGTAGAGCGTGTTCTTTATGGCAAGGTTCTCTGCATGGTGTGATGATGGTAATTATGTACTGTTATTACTATTTCATAGTAGAGTAGACGGATGAAACATCTGTGTTTGCTGAGCTTTACAAACAAGATGAAAGCAAGACACTTCTAGAAAGGATGGCTTGAGAAAAGTAATCTTACCTTTAATAGTAAATAAAGGGCGACTGAATGAAATGTTTGGAGATAAGCAAGTGTGTTATTGATGCAAATCTGTGACCTACATATTAAAGAACTATAAATATCCCTTACAATATTATCACTTGGTAGTTTAGTAAGAGGCAATTGACTTTGTCAATCTTAATTATAAATGTATTATGCAGATTTAATTTAGTGTATTACCCTACCAGCTAAAATGATAAACAAAAAGCAGTTTAAAAGGGGGAGAAATGGATACAGTTGATTAGTAATAAGCCCTTTCATAGCTTCCTCCTCATTTAAATTCCCACCCTCTGAATATCTATTCAAAAATGTGAATGCACACTTACGACAGCCGTGTCTCCTTTAAGTGTCTCAATTCTCTAACCACATTTTTTCCAGATGCTGGTAAATATCACAGTGCTTTGGGGAAATGGTTGACTCTAAGTGTCAGAGTAAAGAGCATTCATGGGGAAAAAAAAGTAAAAATGGGGGGAGGAACAGAAGCTAATTACATCAAATAGAGACTGAAGCACCAAGAGGAGGATGTGAAGCAGGAGGCCTGAATGGCAAAGCAAACCCTGATGGGGAAACCGTCTGTGAATGTCTTGAAAGCACAGCATCTGCCTGAGTGTGCCTGGACATGTGCATGAAAGTCACAGAGAGTGCAGCAGGTGCTTTTGCCAGCAAGAGGGCAAATTGGCAATGACCACTGTAATTCCAAATATTGAATGCACTTGAAAGTACTAATGTAAACACTGTTTGTTTACAGAGGAAATTTCTTGCCATTGTGATCATTTGCTAGCATTATTATTTCAAGCTTCTGAGCCCTGGGTTTCTCCACAACGTAATCCTGAACAGTTCACTATGCAACAAACAGGGTATAAACCCAAAGGACCTCCTATAGGGCATTGGAGACAACAGGACTCCTTAAGGAGAAAATCTGGGACTTCCACAGGGCAAATGATTTTCCTTTCTCTCTCCAGACAGACAAAGCCCTTGAGCCAAAGATGAGGTAAGAATTCATAGACAGATATCATCATAGAATGGTTTGGGTTGGAAGGGACCTTAAAAATCATCTAGTTCCAACCCACCTGCCAAGGGACACCTTTCACTAGACCAGGCTGCTCAGAGCCCCATCCAGCTTGGAGCTGAGCACTTCCAGGGATGATTCCAGGTAATACTGTAATTATTGAGCCTGCACAATTATAATAATATCCTTTAAAATCTAGACCATCCCACAAAGTCATGGTAATTGCTAGTTACCAAGGAGATGGATGTATAATAAAAATTGTTTTGATTTAATTTCTGGTAATTTTCTTCTAAGACAGAAAATAAAGTGTCAAGTTTAGGGTCTGTTTTTGCTGACCAGTATGCTCACCTTGTTCACAAAATCTCCTGTTATCTGCAAGACCAATAATTTTATAAGTTGCTAATGGCAGTCTTGTGATAAGCTTACCATTCTGATACACATTTTAAAGATATCTATCAGCCTGATAAAGCATATTTCCCACAGCAAGTCAGTAAATCTGGAAGAGTTCCTGTCTCAGCCCAAGATGAAAAATAGCCCTTTTAGTTCTCTTAGAACATGGATCGGTATGAATTAATATGTGCAAGAGCCATAAACCTTGGTGTTTTGTATTCAAAATTTCCTCATAAAGATAAAAATCTGGCATTTGACATCTCATTTCAGCAATGTCTCCAAGGCATTTTTTAATTCTATATTCATGGAACTCTGCATTTAAATTCCAATAGTCTTTGCCTACCAAGCACAAGGTAACTGTCAGACAAATAATATGCAGCATAAAGGCTGGGAAAAAGAGAGAGAAATAAAAAATTTAAAAAGGAGTGGTGGATGGGTAGTAGCTTTGATTCTACAGTTTCTAAGCACCCTGGGACCCAGCTTCCAGGGACTGTATGGGTGAGTTAAGGTACCACCCTTCAGTTTTGTAGGTGCTGTGGGAGAATTTGGTTTCTTTCCTGAGGGCTGCCCTTTTCCTTGTTCTTTATCTTCTTTTATTTCTGTTTGAAGTGAACTTATATGACTAGGAAATCTACCCTCAATGCAGAGCTTGAAGGATTGCAGTGATGGGTGAAGTTTCACACAAATTTTTGCAAGCAGCTTAATCAATAAGGCATAAAAGAGAATGGGACTGTGTCAGGACGAAACTTACTCCTTAATCTATTGCATTGCCAAAAAGCTGTGTGGAAAGGTATGTTTCGTGTTCTCCCTGATCCATGCAAGTAGTTTATGCTTCACTCACCAAGCAATTGCAATGCCCATAAGGAAAGTAAATATCTTTGCATCTGGATCTGTCCTCAGTATTAAATCCATGGAAGCTTAGGATTGGTGTTAGGCCACTGCTGGCTTTGTGAACACCTGTGAAACTCTTCAGGTGTTTAAAGTCAGTTTTCACCTAGCAATTTACAGGCTCAAACTCAGGATAACCAACACTGCTTTTGCTGAGCTTTTGTCTTTTTTGCTTGCCTAGGCTCCTGCCTTCTTTGGGGATAAAGCTGATCTTTATCAGGTGCATACAGATAATGCAATGGAGGATTTGCCTTGGCCTTTGAAGGAGCTGGTTTTATTGAAAAAAATTAATAGCTGTAGCATGTGAACTGCTTGCTTTCTCTAGCCACTTTTCATTTTACACACCATAAACAGGAAACATTTACAAGCGCACATTTCTCCAGGTACTTGTGGCTGCCTGTACTAAGCTCCACCCATATTAATGTGACTAATACTGTTTCCACAGTAACAGAAAAAAGGGACCTCTGGGTAAAATGTAACAAATGTATTGCCCTTCGTACAACCTTTTTTCTTGAATATTGCAGCCAAGGCAAGGTTGCAAATAAAAATATTTTTCACCCCTTTACTACCATGAGGTTTATTTATTTGGTTTGATTCTTTTGAGTGCTGTTCTCTTGTTTTCACATTTCCAAGCAGCTGTGAGTCCCTCCTACCTGCTCTGTGCTCCCTAGCCCTGGAAGCAGTTTTAGCTTGCCAATATTTCAGAAGAGCTAGGCTAAAGGGGTGGATGTGCCCAAGTAAAACTGTCTCATAGAATGGTCCTAAATGTAAGAACATTTTTTGGTTAAGGTTTCAGTCTTTAAAAAACTGGTTGTAACTGGATCCAGAACAGAGCATAAAAGCATAAAAGCCGATTTCCAAGAAGGCTCACTGTGAAGACTGATTTAATCCATTTAACAGATCCCAAGGAAATAACAAAATACTTTCTTAGTCAGGGCTTTATCACACAGGAAAATACTGGTCTAATTCAGTCCTTCATGGGCAA